GCCCCCCCCCCCTCCCGGCCGTCTCGACGCTTCTCAGCATGCACAGCTGCGTCACCACCACCACCGCTGCCAGCCTGAGCCGTCGCATCCCCCTTTTCCGCGCGTTTCTTTTTGCCCTTTTTGCCCTTTTTTTTCTGCCGAGCGTCATCATCAGTGTGGCTGGCCGAGCCCACTCGCTGCTCGTTTCCGTCATTCCCACCGTCATGCCCACCGACTTTCCTTTGGGCTGCTTTTTTTCCCTCGCCTGCAGACTGCTGCAACCCTTCACCATTCCCATTCCGCTTCTCCGGGTCATCCACTCTCGGCCCCCCGGTATTGGCATCCATACACGCGCCCCGGTCCCGGTGAATGATTCAGGCTGCTAGTACCATAGCAATAGTACACCCACATGTACACCTACTGTATATCCATCGCTGTCGTGTCGCCCGCCCCGGCCCGCATCCCAGCCCCCTCTCCAGCGCTGCTGTCTGTCGGTTGGCCCAGCACACAGCGTCGCCGACGATCCTGTCTTCTTTGCTGCTGCTTGCAGGCGCCACGGCACACTTCCGCGTCTTATGCATGTTCCCGCAAACCCTCTTCCACGTTCTCGTACGGCATGCCATGCGCGTCCACGGCCATGGGCGGAGTCGTTCGGTGACTGCCATGGCTGCAATCGCTGTGCTGCCTCTGCGCCGTGAACACGTACCAGCCGCCAAACGGTCAGGTCGCGCGCCCGCACTGCACTGCGACACTGTGCTTCCAATGGCAGCAGACGCTCCTGACCGCATGTCGCCTGGCACTGTCAATCGTCTTCTCCCAGTCTTGTCCTCACGCGCGTGCAACGGCGCTGTCGAGCAAAGCAAAGCCGCAATAAAGGCGCGGCAGGCTACCTCTTGAACTGATCGTGAGACACCACTTCTGCCCCAGAGATGGCGCCATATCAGCGTCGCCGCTCGCCATGTCCGGGCGGTGAGGCCGAGTGCCAGTACGCGCAACAGTGCGCGCCCTCTCCTACCATTTCGTCGTCGTCGATAGACGATGATGCGTCCTCCAACACGACGCTCGACGAGGCGGACCAGGGCGACGGGCTGCTGTCTCCTTGCGCGCTCTCTCTGACTGACGACCATCGGCCTCGCCACGACGCAGACAGCCCCACTGCTGCCTTGTTCCCCTTGCATCTTCTCTCGGGCTGCAGCTCGACTGGCAGACGGGCCATGTGCACCTCGGCCTTCACGTTGACGGCGTCCCAGACAAAGCGGGCTCTGGGATGGAGAGGTATGTCCAGGCGCGTGACAGCGCTACATATAATGTAATCCGTCGTGGGCGGACAGGCAGCCCCGCAGCCGGTGTACCCCTAGACCCTGCACACGGCGCCTCCGTCATCGCCAACTCGCCAACTCGCCCGCCTTACACGCGACCATGCAGGAACAACACCACCGGTGCTCTCTGGACCCAGGCTGACCATGCCAGCAGCCGCCCCTCCGCACAATGATGCCACTGCGCCCACCCGCGCTGAGACCGGCCATGAGCTGTCCGATCGAGCCCCCGCCCTCGCGCATCGCATGAAACACGACAAGTCCATCCTCGCACTGGCCGTCTCTTCGCACTCCATCTTCGCCGGCACCCAGGGCGGCGAGATTCTGGTACGCCCATAGCAGAGGCTAGTTTTTTTTTGCAGCCAGCTGACGCCGTGCAGGTCTACAGCCTCGATACCTACGAGCTCCGGAGGGTGGTACATGCGCACAAGGGCAGTGTGCTTGGTCTGTGTCTGTCGCAGGACCACAGGTGGCTCTTCTCGAGCGCAGCAGATCCAATTGTCAATGTCAGTGGCTGCCCCCCGCAACGAGTTTGTACACGATACTAACCCGCCAGGTCTGGTGCACGTCGACGTTCAAACACCTCTATGCGCTGTGGTCTCCGTACGACATTGGCGACATTTTCTGCGTCGCATACTCGTCCCAGCACCAGACGGTATATCTGGGGGCCCAGAACACCAGCATACAAGTAGGAACAGCACGACACGACAATCTGCCGACGTTACTAACAATGCCAGTGGTATGACCTGAAAGAAAAAGACACTCGCCCCGCCCCGAGCCTCTCCTCACACCCCGCCGAGCGCAAGAACCGGTTCTTCGACTCCCTCGGGCCAGGCGGTGCCCAAACACCCAGACCCGGCGGTGCAGACACTAGGCCCCGAGATGCTGCAGGCGGGCAGGAACTGCAAATCGACAACCGTGACATTTGCCAGTTCGCCCACTATGGTTACGTGCATTGCATGCTGGTGGGAAGCGGCATACTACCCGAAGCCCCGTCAGAAGAAGTGCTAGTTTCGGGAGGAGGAGACGGCCGCATTCAGCTATGGAGAATAGACCCGGCACAGCGGGGGAGCATCTCAGGCATCTACACACTCGAGGACGGCCGCGAAGAGGGCGAATCGATTCTCTCGCTCGCCCGAGAAGGTTCCTTCCTGTACAGCGGACGCTTCGACGGCGAAGTCAATGTCTGGGACTTGGAGACCCGGCAGCTAGTGCGCAGTCTCAAGGCGGGCACCGGCGACGTGCACACATTGTCGCTGGGCTCTGGTGTCCTGTATGCCGGTGGTAAGACGGGTGTTATGCAGGTGAGTGTGTGTAGGGGGGGGGGGGGGGCGGGGGGGG